TATTAAAAGGAGAAAATGCTCAGATATCAAGAACATTAAAAAAATCGACAAAATACGGCGATTTTTTAAGCAAAAAAAATATTGATGGGTGGGCTTCGAATTTATTTTCAACGTTCTCGAAATTCCACACTCTTCTATTTTTAATATGTGATAGCTGGAATCCCAAGGTACATTCTGTGCAAATTTGAAGGTAATATGTGATATGTGTTAGTACTATACACATTATCCTTACAAGACAATTTTTTAAAATGACCGCAACACTAAAAACCGAAATCGCCTATTTTGACCTTTTTTGACTGCTGAGGCATCCTTCCGGTGGTCAAAATCTCTGGAATTTCCAGCGGTTGGCTGCGCCGCGATAATATTTATCATATATTAAAAAGAAAAAAATTTCGCGATATTATACTTACTGACATGAGAGTTACATTTTCTGAATCCTTGAAGGAATGCCTAAAAAACGTTCAGAACAGAATTTTGATTTCGGTCAACTGATGGTCTCCATTTGGAATTGAATATGAATTGAACAGACGTGAAAATAAACACAACAGGCCGTAATATGTTCAAATGCGTCTATTATTTCTGAAATTAATGCATTTCAGGATAGCTCGGGATCAAGATCGATTTTTTGGTGTTTGAAAATTTTCAAAATTTCGTATTTCGCCTTTGACCTTTTATGTGCCGACAAAGTTGTTTGCAGGACAATTTATGCCTTTAATTTTCAAAATTTACAATTTTAACCTAAATATTCGAACAGCTAAGGCCAATCTGATTCAAAAAATATTAGTTCCGTTCAAAGTTATTTCATTTATTTTTTTACATTTTCCTGCCCCTTTTTAGTTCTTTCCCGCTATTTTCGTTTCATGTTCTCATCCGTCCCGTTTTTAAACGGCTTGATCCATTTTTCTGAAACTTCTTAGTTATTTCCCGTTAGTTTCCAGATTATTTTGTTGCCCGGGTGCAATGTTTCTCACTATATTTAGACTTGTAACTTCGCGAATTTTTGCCCGATTTTGATAATTATTTTTTGTTGTTCTTATTTCTTTTAAGATGCTTGATATAATCCATTTCACGTGACGATGAATATGAAAGCTTTCATATCTGCATGGGACAGTAGAAGATCTAGTTTTTATTATTATTTTTTTTTTTTGTGTGTTTTGTCCACAAATCGGATTTCTCAGAATCTAACCTTAGGATCTTTCTGAAACTTTTACCTATCCCCCAAAAATGGGTGGTGGCTGTTGATTAAATATATTTTCAAAACGTTTTACGAAATCACCGAATTTTACGAACGAATGCATTTGACCTACAATGACATAGCCGGAGACAGGGCAAATAGCTACGGTACTTCCGATTTTTTATTTTCGACGAATCTTCGCTTATATTAGGCGCGAAATTTTGAAAATTTGAATTTTTACAAAAAACTTTATTATTAATGAATATGGTATTTTACACAGGATTAAATGGTTGTCTGACTTGAGGAAAAATGTGAACAATTCTTGTCTCAGTAATTCGGGTTAGTCGCCATTGGCTAATTCAGTTTTTCGATCCTAGATTAATTATTTATTGTTCGATATGTATATTAGAAAGTTCATGAGGTCCGTTTTCCGAAATTTCATTTTTTTTTGTTACCGTTAAAATTTTCTGTCGGCAATGAGAGTGACATGATCTTACCAAAAACTACAATTTTGACAGTTCGGTACCACTTTTTGAAAGCAAATATTATTTTTTCAAAATTTGATATTACCAAAAGTATACGCCATGCAAAGGAACACAAATCATCGGACTCAGTTTTTTAATTTCGATTTCGTTTTCAGGCTATTTGGATTAAAAGGTGAAAAAAGGTGTAAAATTAACCTATTTACAACCCATTCAGCGTCTTCATTTTTTTAGAATATTTCTTCGTAACTTTCTTAATCTTGTAGCAATAATCCATACGAAGAGAATGTATGTGAAAATTGATTTGTAATATGCGCAGTTGCCGAGAAATAGGCAAGTTTGCATGCGTCATTTTTCAGATTTGTTTGCTTGTAAAAGAGTCAATTATCATTCGATTTTCAATTTGTTTTTAACATTTGATGCCTTATGCCAATTTGGACTAGGTCAAGTCAAATTCACATTTTCTACTATCACCGGAAATGAATTCATTTGGTAAAAAAAACTGTATTTTTAGCCTTCAAAACAAATATTTTATTCAAATGAGTCTGATCTGTAATGTTTTAATCATTATGATATTTGATTCCAATCAACAAATAGAATTAACCCATACGATCATACAGATACCACAAAAACGTTTCTTACTTGTACGGTTGCAGAGAAATAGACGATTTTCTTCAAGTCACTTTCCAAGGTTTTTGGTCTATAAAAGTGCAAATTAATATTAGATTTTCATAAAATTTTCACCATTGTGATGCCGTCTGCCATTTATGATTTCATAGAACTAATTTAACATATTCAATATCACCGGAAGTAATGTCATTTGGTAGGGTGACCCATGCACTCTACAGAAATACAGTCCACCGCTGATAGTTCGAGACTACCACTGAAGCGTGCACATTCGCCGTGTCGAGACCAATTTTCTGACAGTATGATACTATAAATAGCCATGGCACGTGCAATTCTCTACAAATCTATCAAATATTACAGCCGTAAAAAATTTATTGTTGACGATTTTGAATAGCAGTAAAATTAAGCTTCTTGGTTATTACAGCAGATTTAGAAATTACGTTCGTTTCATTTTTTATATCGCTTTATCATTAACTGTACCGTTAAGAGCGGCATCTTTTGGTTTAGTACAAATAATATATCTGAAACACTCGGGTTAGACAGGAACATAATACTAGCAGTAGATTCATTTTACTTTTACAAGCTTCTTAAAACAATTGTTGAGCTAGCTAACGTGCTTATTTCTAAAGTCAATTTCTTGTTCTAGCTTTCTGTTATGTTTCGTAAAAAAGTAGTCTTGTTTATCCCGACCTGTCAATCAGACGTAGAATGGTCAATAGACTGGTTAAGCGAGACTAATTTCAAAACAAGGGCACGTAACCTATCTTTTACTCAAAAGTGTCTGGATGTTATGGACGACACTTGGAACCAGTTTTCAGTCTATTATTTATAGATGATTAATGGTCATAGCTTATTAAGTACAACATGATCGTTTATTTAGTGACTATAATTGTGTGAAACTGATTTGAGGCTTGGCATATATATAAATATTGTGGCGTAATTGTCGAGATATTTGGAGATATTTATTTATGGTGGGTCACCCTACATTTGGGCACAAACTGAATTTTTAGCTTTCAAAACAAATATTTTTTTTAAGTGAGTTATATTTATTATTCGTTTAACATTTTTGATATTTGTTTCCAATGGGCATATAGATTGGATCAATACGATCATATAGATGTCCAAAAATGGCTTGTCGAGAAATAACTAATTTTGTCAGTATGACTTTTATAGATTTTTTTCCCATTTTAATTTCCCATTAGAAAATTATCTAACTTATCGGTAAGTTAGTAACAATTTTTGTCAGGATCACTTTTTTGACATATGTAACACATGGTAACAAATGTATAGATGCAATTGATATCGCTAGATTTGGTTGATTCTGCGTCTGTTTGTGCAATGCTTAAGTGGAAATCTGTTTAACGGTTTCATTGATACCGGAAATGACATAAGATCACGGTTATTAAAAATACTTTTAAAAATCTACAATACTTTAGTCTAGACTAATCGTTTGAGTCAGAAATATCACATCTTTGTGACAATTTCTGTTATCCAAAATACCATAAAACTACGAAATTCAAGGGATTTAGTTTATCGATACGCATTATTTCCATTGAAGCCTGCGATTAAACCAAATGCCAAGGTCGCGAAAGCGACATGCAAGTTCAAGGTCAACTAACTGATACATTTCAAAACGAATAACAAGCAATAAACTTATTTATTTCATCTCTCTACGACTGTCTGACCATGTGCAGACATTGTTACAACGTATGAAACCCCCCTCATTGGTATTGTAACGGGTAGTTCAACCTGGCAATAGTTTTCAGTTCCGAAGCGTGTATTCTTACACCCTAAGTCCCCTCACCGGAATTGTGCACTGCGCGAGCGCAAGCAATTTTAACTAAAATCTATTAAATTGCATTTTAAGTTACAATCGATCTTCGTGAAACGCATAAAATTTAAAATTTCAGTTTGATTTTAGTTCAAATCTATTTTAGTGATTTTAGTTTAAGTTTTTGTGAAACAGGGCCCTGGGCTGTAAATCAACATGTATAGTCATAATGGTTTGTCCACTCGTCATAATTTCATTAGCTCAATTATTTCTGACATGGTCGTGTGTTGTGTTCACTTCCATCACGCCCATTTATATTTACATGTACAAGAATTATTATTAAAGGAAACGTTTTTATTTATTGGAATTTGTTTGTTCTAATCATTCTGATTCACTTCTAGCTTCGTTATCCGAAACTAAAAGAAAGGTCTAGAGAGCTTTTTCGGAAGAAATGCGCATACGTGAAGTCATTCAACCTTGGTGTTATTGCTCAAAATCAATAAAATATAACGGTAAAATTCCCTTTTTTAAGCATCAAAGAAGCTGTAACCTTGGCGCCCGCGTCTATTTTTAACAATATTTCGTACAGTGCGCTGTAAAAAAAGACGCTATGAGTCCTAAACTTTCTACTTCAAATTTGTCGACCATCAAAGTCGCCTTCCGCAGCAAACCGATATATCAAATAATTATTTCACTATTTGGTTTCAAATCCACTTTGTCGTTATAAATGTGCGCTCGGTAGTGTTAACATGCATGTTGTTGCTTAGCTTTTCTTTTGTCTAGGTCTCAAACACTGTTTCACCGACGCCCTGCAGGAGATTTTGATCGATTGAAAAGGATTGCCATAGAAAGTATCACGCCATACTTTTTACACACTGCTTCTGTTTACTCGTCGTTATGGCAGCGGTATATAATTAATTATGTATCTAAAATTATTTCCGTCTGTACTGAATTACAGATAATTTCCTGTGGTGAAATTTGAAAATATAATCTAAAATAGGATCTTAAAAATCTATAGAATAGTGAGTAACATTAAAATGAATATCGAATCGTTGTTTCGTTGTTAAGTTTAAAGTTCCAGTTATTGACAGATATCAAAATGGCGCCCGACAAGTTAACAGCATCTGTCTACATTATTCTTATTTACTTCGTGATCTTTATTTTACAAGGTAAGATTTTGAAGTACAAATTAAATATTAACTTTTTTGACAATCTAGTTGTCAAACGCATAGTCTAAGTAATTTAACTGACATTACACGAGTTATTTAATTATTGATGATCCGGTGTTTATGTGTCCTATAGCCCCCGTGTTGTCTCAAACAGCGTTAATGAGTCAAAACAAACTTAGTCGAAAGCTTGAGTTGTAACTCGACAGTTTTAGTTAAAGTTAAAAAATAAAATTTGTAAATAAAGCCACTTCGCTTAAACTATGAATGACCCCAAAAACACGCCAACCTTGCGTTCATGACGTGTCATCACGACCCCAGATTATGTAAAGTATTGCATCATTACAAGCCACGCTATGCTCAAAACATGATTGCGACGACCAACGTTTCAAGAGAGAGAGAGAGAGAAATGGGGTTTAACGTCCACTCGACACAAACTAGGTCATTTCGGGACTAACATATGGTTTAATTTTATTTACATAATTCGCTTGCGCGTAGGGGTCTTTAGCAGTGGGAGGAAACCGGAGGACCCGGAGAAAACCCACGAGGTTGGACAGGCGACCCTACTCCTTGCCACGTACAACCGGGGATTCGAAACCACGCCAGTCGACTCAATGACAGACTTTATGATACAGCGCGCGCACGCTAACCATTCAGCCATCCAACCCCCCACCAACGTTTCAAAGCAACCACATAACAGAATAACATAGTTCAAAAATAATATTTTAACTTATGCGAACGTGCTCAGTTTGTATTACCTCTACGTATATTAGGATTTCTTATGCTGGGGGTGCGTAGCTCTAATACGTCGAAGCACAGCGCTCTCACAATATTTATTATTCAAGGAGCTTTAATCTATAAGAAACATAAGTAGCCTACTAATTATTTGACTGGGTTTATAAACGAATAAACATCATAAAACAAATAAAGATATATTGAAATCATAATTAAAACATCAATAACAAATGATCTATTAATGAATAATTGAATATGACCAAGTGTAATTCTAAGCTATTTCACATTATCATATGCCTAAAGAAACATTAATCAATAAGCGAATATAAAGTATTATCATACTATGTGAATAAGTGTAGTAAACTATTTCACATCATAATATCAGGCATAAAATAAACATATATACTAAATAAATTATTAGGCGACACAATTATAAACTAACTCACCTATAAGAAAGATAAGTACTAATTATTTGACGTCGAACTGGGTTCATTAACGAATGAACATAATTGTCCGTATTTTGTCTCTTATATTTATACCCAGTCGCTATCGCCAACTTAATATCTTAATAATAATTAAACTAGAAATATTTGAACATATACATGATAAGAGTTAAACATATAATACAAAATGTGATATAAATTAACATATTTATATTACTGAGACCTAACTCAAATATAGGTACATACTTAATCAATGACTAAGAAGCATGTTAAGTAATATTAAATTATTTTAAGATAGATGTTCAGAAAAGGTAAATAGATAAGACGGTGCGTTCAGATTAGATTAGAACGATCGGGGTTCGGAGTAAAGATTAACTTATCCACTTTAAAGCAATTAGTCAGTTTAGATAAGTAATTACATGTATATCAAAATACGAAAAACGCTTTTATCCGTAAAAGCAAACTATAAATCACACCCCAGTTTAAATTGAATAAGAGACTAATTCAATTAATAAGATGAAAACCTACAAAATATGTTAGACTAAACATAACACTAAGGAATGCACAATTTAAATATAAAATTGTGAACTTAAAAGGTACATATAATGAAATATTAATGCAACACTTCATATAATCCATGGTGAGATACTAAAATATTGAGCGAACACGTCGTGCCAAAAAGGGATTCAGTCGAATCGAACTAGGGATATTTAGCGATTTCACTTGAATCGAACTAGGGTTATTTAGCGATTGACTGGTGAATTTACTGGTAATTTTGAAATTTGTCCAAGTTATGTGAAGTGAATGTCTTATCATGTTGTGTACATACAAATCCGTAATTGTCTCTGGTAGCATAAAATCCCAATATTAAGGGCATAATGACAGGGATAAATTCACATAATGAACCTGTTGTTAATTCTAATATCAATACAGTATGTGAAGTTTTCTTTTGATATAATTTATATGAAATAATAATGAGGAGAATACATCATATTGAATAAACTTAACAGAACGATCCATTTGAAGATAACAGTGACCGCTGAATGGTCTTCCTGTGAATGAAAAAAGAAATAATGTGATGTGATAAGTCTGGGTTGAAGAACAAGTGTAGCTATAATCATTGAAACTTTCTAGCACTTGTACATATTGCTGTGTAGAGGAGAGACCAATCATATCCCATTAACAATTTCATTCATCGTATTTCCCTAATAGATCGAAGTTAACTTTTAGTGAAATATTTCTTCTTTAAGTGTCGTCTTAAGCCATTGTGATTACTGAAAGCCTGTTGTGATTACTAAAATTATTATTATTATTTACCGCAGGAGCTTATTTCTCAGTGCCTGTAACAGATACCGATCTGAAACCTAATTTTCAACCGGGAAACCATGTGGTGGCTACTCCATAAACTATTTTTGAAACTTCTGCGCAGACCGGAAGTGGCCGAAATGGCCAAAATAAAACAATCGGCCATAGTTTCTTCAATTCTTCACCTATTTTAAAACCAATGACATTTTCGAAAACCTTGTGACTTTTCCTGGAAGATAGCAGTTGAATATTTCGATATTTCGAAACTTCGTCGCTGTCATTTTACGTCCGAAAATTTAAAAAAAGTTGTTTACGAGACAATTTTTGTTATTTTTCCAAATTGTCAAGTTTGACCTACATATTTGAATACCTGAAATCAATCCGATTCCGGCAATATTAGTTTCATTCAGAGTTATTGCCCTTTATTTTTCGAATTTTCTGCCCATTTTATAACCCTAAATTTTTTTGAAAGCCGCAATCGATGTTTCTGATATTCCTGGAACATAAAGCCATATGACCATACCGCTGGATAAAGCAATTCCAACAACGATCCGCAAACCGGAATTAGTCGAAATAATGTCTGATATTTTGAAAAAAAAACCCCGCAAAAAATGGATACTTTTTGAAAAACGCGATTTCTCCGTCTGATATCAACGGATTAAACCAATTTACGATATCGTTCGGTCGAGCGGTGATTGGACTACTGTATTATACCTAATTCACACAGATACGATAATCAGATCTCAAAATGTGGCACGTCGAAAATCAAGTATTTTCTGATTTGGAGCCTTTTTGGACGCCTTTATCTCAAAAACTACTGCAACGATTGTTTTTAAACTTCCTCTATCGAGAGTCCCATCGGAGGCCTTGTGCATGAAGCCATCCAATAAGACTTTGAAATAACTGGAATAGCATAAAAAAGGGACTATAAATCGAAAAAATTCGAAAAATCGTGAAATTTTGGGAAATGCTCTATTTTTTTATTTTTTATTTTAACAGATTTTCAAAAAAGGTTATACATTCAGATAGCTGACCTAATTCTGATTCTAACGATGTATAATATGTATTGAGTTATTGAAATTTAATTTTCTATATTTTGACATTTTCGCATTTATGGCAAATTGAACATGGGATTCCTCATGGTGATTTCATCAGATAATGTAATATATCATTATAGAGCCCTGCAATTATTTAATAGCCTAAACCGGTTATTAAAACTATCTCGACAATGATCTGCATACCGGAAGTATTCAAAAATTGAAAAAAAAGGTTAAAAAATTGGCGTTCTTGCGAAAAACCTCATTTCTCCGTCAGATAGTAGCGGACCAAAAGAACTAAAATGTCATTGGATAGCCCCATTACTGGACTATCATATGACATCTAAATGATACGATTTCGATGGTTAGGGAATAAATTATGATACGTCGAAAATCTGGTATTTCTCGTTTTGGAGCATTTTGAGACGCCTTTTTCTCGAAAACGACACCTACGATTTTTCTTACACTTGTTTTACTCAGAGTCCTATCAGTGGTCTATGGCGTGAATCCAAAAAGAAAAGCATTGAAATAATATAGGTGGTCCAAAAATGGCCTCAATCTTTGAAAAAAGTTGAAAAATCGTTAAATTATTGAAAATGCTCTTTTATTTATCGGGGGGTTGTATGGCCGAATGGTTAGCACGTGCGCGCTGCGCTGTATCATACGGTCTGTCATTGAGTCAACTGACGGGGTTTCGATTCCCCGGTTGTATGTGACAAGGAGTAGGGTCGTCTGTCCAACCTCGTGGGTTTTCTCCGGGTCCTCCGGTTTCCTCCCACTGCTAAAGACCCCTACGCGCAAGCGAATTATCGAAATAAAATTGAACCATGTGTTAGTCCCGAAATGACCTAGTTAAACCCTCTCTCTCTCTCTATCTCTCCCCCTCGGTTCCTTTCGATATTGGCATGTATCGGAATATAACTTCATGGATTACGGCCCCTGATTGTACGAAAAATCACGTTTTTAGCTTGTGAACACTGTAGAGGTCACAATTTTTATCCGATTTGGTTGAAGCTTGAAATGTATGCTTATAACCCAAAGATCTCGGTTCCTTTCGATATTCGCACATATCGGAACGTAACTTTCTGAATTATGGCCCCTGATTGTACGAAAAATCACGTTTTTAGCTTGTGGACCCTATAGAGGTCATAATTTTTATCCGATTTTAAAAAAAACGTTTTAGTATATCACCGTTACACCCTAAGGATAGCTGCGTTCGAATTTCGTCCCAAAACTGACAGACAAAATGACCGCCCCTCGTTCTCAAATAGCGAAAAGATATGGTATATCAAGGTTGTGACCCGTAGAGGTCACAGTTTTTATCTGATTTTGTTGAAACTTGAAATGTAAGTTTATAACCCAAAGATCTCGGTTCCTTTCGATATCTGCGCATATCGAATTGTAATTTCCTGAATTATGGCCCTTGATTGTAGGAAAAATCGCATTTTTAGCTTGTGGACCCTATAGAGGTCATAATTTTTAT